AAAGAAAGAAAGAAAGAAAATGGCATAAAGTGAGAGATATCAATGACTTGGGATATACAGAAGGATGCAAACACTAACAGTCCTTTAAGTCTATATAGTCCTGCAGCAGAAATTACAACATGGAATGACCACATCCAGCAGGAATGATGGGGCAGGACTCAGAATTCACATCAGCAAATGAGTGCACAAGAAAACAAAGCAGCCATAACTGTGACACACTACCCACAACCCATATCTGGTGGACTTCAGTACCATAGCTCCTGGAAAGAAACCAATTACACAAACACAGAGAGAAACTTTTTATTCACTTCTCTTTTTGTTTTGGAGATATGTTTTTCTTCTTGTTTTTGATTCTTTTTTAACCTCTTGCTCTTTTTCTTTTTTTCTTTTCTCTTTATCCTTTTCTTGTTGTTTTTATCTAATTCTGTTCATTTTCTTTGTTTTTTTTTTATTTTATGGATGCACTTTACTTTTTAAAACATGGAGTGTTTCATGAATTTGTGTGTCATTCTTACACAGGGACCATGCTAATCTTCTCTGTATCCTTCCAATTTTAGGATATGTGCTGTCGAAGTGAGCACATCTTTTAGTTTTGAAACAGAATTTTATCTCATTCTTTCCCTTCCTTTTCATCTTTATTTTCTTTGTTTTTTAAATTTTATTTCTTTCATTTCTCCTCCTCCATTATTACTATTATTAAGGTGTCTTTTTAGCTATTTAGTTGACCGTATACTATTATCATTGAATTCCTTTCACTTGTAAATGATAGTATAGTTGTAGCTTTTAGTACACATTTACTTTATGTCAGTAATTAATTTGTATTTGAATGTAACTTATTATTACAAATTTCTTTGTTGTTAAAAATGGAATAGTTGTACCTGTTATTGGTTATTACAGTATGTGAATACCTGTTTAGTTTTTACTCTACTATTTCTATTATTGTTGATTTCCAGTGGTAATGGTAGCATAGTTTTTGCTTTTAACTGGTTGCTTGTATGCCAATACCTGATTTGTCTTTTCCTCATCAACATTACTGTGGTTCATTTTCTTCTCTGTGAGTGATGCTGAAGCTCAGAAGAAGCCTAAAAACACTAAGAAAAGACCATCATGTATCATGCTGATAGGATAGAGACAGACTTAAACACCAAAACATAATCAAACCAAGATTATCACATGGTGACAGAATATAATTAAAGAAATCTTCAAAGTAGTGACAGTTTCTCTACCCTATCTGCTCTTCAACCCACAGCACAAAAATAAAAAAAACATGACAAAAGAAGGCAACAAGATGTTCACAGATCTCTTATCTCTTCAAAAGCTGATCTTACAGACTGATGTAGAAGCTGATCTTCTACACTGATGTAGAAGCTATAGGCAAACAACCAAAACTAATGTTCAAAATTTTTAAAGAATACACATAAGATATTATCAAGTTCAAAGAAGACATAGGATTCTATCAATAAGATGTTTGAGATGCTCAAGGAAGAAAGAAATGATAAACTAAGTTAAGCAAGCCAATATCAAACACAAATGACCAGTTCAGAGAAAAATTTAAAAGTATTTTTCAAAAGCCAGGATATATGATATGAAAAATTCAATGAATAAAAATTCAATTCAATGAAAATTTATGATAGTAGACTTGACAATGTGAGAATAGAGTGTCAGAGTTAGAAGACAAGGAGGATGTAGGACAGAACTTAATCAGATCCCCAAATGACAAGATGCTCTGCAAGCTGGATTCAAAGTTAGATGACTCAAAAGAGAAAAAGAAAACCTCAGAATTATAGGAATATGGGAAAAAGAAAAAGAAAACCAAGAAGTTGTACAAATTTTACTGAAATCATAACAGAAAACTTTCCAAATTTAGGGAAAGAATTTAAGAGGTAGAAGAAGCATAGAGAAATAGCTGTATCCAGAAAAGAACTGATCCACAACACACTTCAGTCAAAATTCCAGAAGCCAAGATAAAGCAGAGCATATTAAAAGCTGTTAGAGAAAAGTAGCAAGTATAAGGAAGTCCATCAAAATAATTGTGGGGGTTTTTAGCACAAATCTTAAAACCAAGAGAACTAAAAGTAAAGTTTTCTAATCCTGGAAGGAAAACAATTGTCATCTTGTATTTTTTTTTTAATCTGGAGGAATTAGCCTTCAAACTTGGAGAAGCCTTTCTGCACCAAAAAAAATCCTAAAGAAGTACATGACCATTATACCAACATTGTAAAAAGTATTTAAAGGAATCCTCAATAAAGGAAGGGAAGCTGCTGGCATCAAAAAGCCCAAAAGAAAAATATACCTTTAATTGGGAGAGTAAGAAAAAGAAAAACAATAAAGGAAATATCACTGAAGAAATTGAACAATTACGTGTTTCTTCTTCTCCTTCTCCTTCTCCCTCTTCTTCCTCTCTTTCTTCTTCTTCTTTGAGACAAAATCTCATATGCAGTTTGGGCTTGCCTTGTGCTCACTTTTGTAGCCACACAGGCTGGTCTTGAACCCACAGAGATCCTCCTGGCTCAACCTCCCAGTGCCAGGATTACAGGTGTGCACCACCACACCTGGTTCCAGGCCTCACGATGGCATCCACGGCATGTGGGTCAGAGGATCGAACTCAGGTCCTTGTGCTTGCCAGGTAGGTGCTTATGCCTCTGAGATATCTCTCCATTCCTTGATCACAGGTTTCAATAAATACTTTGCAACATACCTCCAATGTCAACACTCTCAACTCCCCAGTCAAAACACACAGACTGGAAGATTAGATTTTTTTTTAACATAACCATATATTGCTTACAGGAGACACATTACTTCCAAAAGGAAGTACATAGAATGAAAGTGAAAGAGTAAGAAAAGATATTTTATTCAGCCAAATCTCAATGATAATGGAAGTAGCTATACAAATTTCAGACACAGCAGATATCAAGCCAAAACTGATCAGAAGAGATGAAGATGGCCAGTATATGCTGGGAAGAGGAGTGATTCAACAGGGAAAAAACAAATAGCACACTACATACCCATTAATGAATGAGGGGCTGGGGATTTGACTCAGTGGTAGAATGCTTACCTAGCAAGCTGGAAACCCTAGGTTCAGTCCTCAGCACCAAAAATAAAAAATAGACCTCCCCTAAAAAAAACAAATTCAACCCCAAAATACAGTAAAATCAAAGAAAAAAGACCAAAAACAAACAAGGCAACCACTAATGAATGAATGTATAAAGAAAATATGATATAAATGCACAATAGGAGTACTACTCAGCCGTTAAGAAGGATAAATTTGAGTACTAGTAAGAAAATGGGTTGCTGTAAAGATCGTCATGTTAAATGAAATAACTTAATCACAAAAAGGCTAAATATTGTACAGTTTCTCTGAGAAACTCCCAATAAAAATAATTTAAAGAGCAAAATAAAGACCATATGAAGAAACAGAGAAGCGGACTCTGGAGCTTGAAAGGGGATCTGGGGAAGAAGGGAAAGATAGATTAAGATGAAGGAGGAGTTCTGGAGAGATGGCTCAGTGGTCTAAAGCACCTACTTGGAACAAGCTTATCAAAGCATCAGGGACTGCGGTTCAATCCCCCAGCACCACATGCCAGCCAGCCGCGCCCCCTGGTGGGCTGAGCTGGCCACACACC